AACGAAAGAGGCATTTCATATCAAGCGTGGGTACTTTGTCTTATGAATAGTATAGGAATTATAATAATAACATTTCTCTCCTTTCAGTTATTTATAAATTTAAAATGGCATGCGGCTTGATGTTGCGTAAATACAGATTTTTACAAGAACAATTTATTTGTGCACATCATACAACTTATTGGTATCGTACAACCATATTATAACTACCCAGACCAAATAAATGACTCTTGTGATTGTATTAACAGGAAAAGAATCATTAATTAGTTTTATAAAATATCGAATACAAAGTCAACTCGTGGTGAGGATTACACCCCGTACACTTTCGAATCCCCTGAATCCGCCAACTAAATACTTCAAAGAGCCGTGAACCTATTACAAAATTATAGAGCGATGTTGCTTCTTGTCTACAGAAAATCTGGATACGAACAGTTCTGCTTGAGGTGTATGTCACTATACTTATTTTGTACAACTTTCAACAGATAACCACTAGAATACACCACAGTAATCGATACAAGAAGAATATTAACTATAATGTGGTACCGCCATTTTCTTTTCCACACCCGACCCACGGCTATATTCATGACTCTMGTCTGAATCAAAAGCGAAATTGTATTGAAAACTAAATCTATTAAAAGACCAAAAACAACGCGCTTGAAAAAGCCCACTACGACATCAATATCGATGAAAGGTTTCTCGTGACTATATAGGATTTGATAAACATTCATAAACCCTAACGAACAAACTAATCCACTAGCTTCCTGTAGCATGATTTGAATCGTAAGGTCTGCAACAAACCGTCGACTTCGAAGACTGACGTATTTCGGTGTAGGACGTCTTCGTCGTCGCACCAAGCGATACAAGTAATCCCAGATCTGATCTCTCATTGTCACAGTTATCCGTTCAACGAGGTCTATAGCAGCGTGAGCGATCCCAAGTAGAACAAACAGGCGGAATTCAGTAATATCGGACTGCATTACTCTAARTACAACGGCTGAGCCTGCGTAAAGTGCAGACACAAATACAAAACCTGTTCCAGGATGGACGATCCCATGAAGGGTCTGAGCACCAAGTCGASYWACTACTTTGGGGATAGCAGTGAGCAAYGGAGACAYTGAAGCAATGATGACTTTGACATGTCCATTTTGCTTGATATACCAGGGAAGCAATCCATAGACAACTAGTAACGCGGCAGGCAATCCAAGGATGAACTGTGCAGAGAGAATRAAGTCTAGTTTCAAGGTGTTTTTTAAGGATACTGGGTAGAATTTACGAGCTAACAGGTAGTKATTGACAATTAAGACAGTAGTAAATAGACCRTTAAGAGGAAAGGATCTCCAGGAAACRCCGTACATTCCAATCATTTGCAGGTAAATTCTGTAAGTCATATCGACGAAGGCTGCCAACACGTTCAAGGTCAACAAATGGAGTTCTTTGATAAGTGAAAGWGGAAACACGCACGAAATTGTTGCAAAATCCCACATCTCAATTACTGCTCCWTGCAGGGCCTGGGTGGTAACTCGAAGTCTTTGAACCTTTATTGGCATCTTATTCCATTGGCTGTTCATAGTGAAACACCAGTCTGCAAAGGTGAAGTGGCAAATCGCAAACCCAACTCCAATCAACCCAATCAAACTTCCTGTCACGGTTTGTATCATGATGATGTTCTTCAAACATTCCTTAAGTGATCTTTTCCAAGACGGTAAGCTCATTCTCCAAGCTTTAGGATCTGCCTCGTGACCGTCTGGTGGATSGAACTCTTGGAATACATGATCGTCTTGGTCGAACTCAGTAAAGTCTTGTAGTTCGATCAAAGGATCTTCTTGCTGAGAATGAGCTCGTTCTCCGTTGTTTGCACCATACGCTCTGACTATAAATACTCCAGAGCAGTTTTCCACCAGGAAAGCTAGAAAAACAACGATTTCAGCGAGCATTTTCGTACGATGGCCGAGAAGGGCCTTCCGATTTCGGCGCTTCCGACTTCGGACTTCGGACTTCTGATTTCGGACTTCGGACTTTTGATACTTTTGTTTCCGTTTTTTTGTTGTGAGTTGAATGTATGAAAATTAAGAAAAGAATATATTTTTTGCGATTAATAATCTTTTGTGAGTTGAATATGAAAGAAATGAAAAGGGGAAGGAGAATAATGAACATGAAATTGAAAGTACGTATGGGAATGTACAGGCGAGACGATAAATAAAAATGGAGTTGCGGGATGTGGTTTTACAAATCCAATGCTAATCGTGTACTATCCTGAATCCCTGCTAACAATCAGTTCCAAAGGAATCCCGAGTTTAAATTTCGGCTGTCTTCGTCGTATTTGTATTTCGGTCACAAAATTTCCTCGGCCTAATGCACTGGGTACGAATGTTAAACCTATCACATTACATTCACAACTTCCATGTGCTATTTTATGGTGGCGAGTGTGTACCCTGCGAACAAAGTGTTATTTACCTTACCTCTGTTCGCAGGGTAAACACTTCAAATACGCTCAAATCACTTACAATTCCACACACCATTCGCGGTATAGCCACACTAAAAGATGTCGAGCGTTTTTCGAAAGGGCATTTGGAAAGATACCGCGAATTTATCGTGAAACTTATCTTAACTTTTTATTTCAGTAATTCTTTTTTGTCTTCCAACTATCGGAAGTCACTGAATATGCAGGCGCGTAAGGTCGACCAGAAGCAGGTTGGAGATTTTCCCAGAATTCACGATTAGTTCTGAAAGACGACGAGAAAGAATCAAATTTGAATATATTGTTACGTTTTTTCTGAATATTATGGACTAGAATGTCTACTTACTTCACTCTCACGTGTGGCTCAGAGTGGCTTTTCAGGGCCTCTCCCCAGGGGGAACTTTTGGCACTTGCTATTGGGAAACGGCCTCGTTCAGGTGCCAGCTATATGAATCCATAAAGTATATCAACATACTAGCCTATTATATTTATTCTTATTGTAATAATCCAACTGGATAAATATGGATCGTCTTCGCTGAAAATGTGCAAAGACATGGAACATAGATGGTGTACCCCTATTCAAGACAACTGAAGGTGAATTCAAGACACAATTAAAGGCCAAAAGCCATACCCCATTTAAGTGGGAACGTCCCCGTGCCGGTATAGTAAATATGCGTACCCTGGGCAGTTCAAAAAGGGCAATAAAAATATACAATTAGAACGTTTTCAAATAACGCGTTTTGCATACTATAGGGCCCAAAATATTCACGTTCAAGCAATTTGTCACATGAACAACAACAAAAAGATAGTTAATTAAGTCACAGGGCGCCCAGGCTCAACAGTTGTGTTGCTTTCACGGCGGTGTCAAAGTATAGCGTGGTTCGCGGTTCGAGCCCTCATGAAGGCGTAAATTTTTTCTTCTTCATTTCTTGAGACTTTTAAAGACTTTCTCTTTCTTTTCTTTTTTCTTTAATAAGCATATACAGTTTTATGAATAAAGATTGATTTTTAAAGCCATTTTTATATTTTTCTCCCCTCGTAAGTAAAAATAGACTTGTGTCTCAAGAGAATGAAGTAGAAAACATTTACGGCTTCATGAACCACGCAATGCTTTGACACCGCCGTGAAAGCAACACAACTGTTGAGCCTGGGCGCCCTGTGGTTAAGTGGCTTACCTCTTCAGCCAAGGCTCGTATATGGTAGGGTTCAAATCCACAACAACCTCCGATGTACCTTATTCCCATGTCGTACGCTTTACGAGCAAACTTTTGGCAGTCAAACCGTGTGAGCATGCGTGGTTCTAACGCTATTGAAACAAACGATAAAACAATGACGACTCACCCAGAAGGCATCAGATTATTAGATTTGTGAGCTAATATTTGACGCGAAGATGACAATTTACAACCTAATGTGCATAAGTGTACGAGGATCTAATGTTAATTGGAACAAATAACGTTACTGAGGATAAAAAGATCTGCAGGTATAACAGTAGAAAATCTTTGTTCATCATTGTCTATGTAAAGATGCTTACCAARTGGGCATTCAGGAAGACTTGTAAAACCATTTGGACCAGCTTCTGGTGTCCAGTAACCAACTGGTTGGACCATAAAATGTACTTTTAGACCTTCTTTCTTCACAGCTTCTTGCATCAGTTTCATGGTTTGTAGACTTATCTCGGGATCAAACCGACAGTTAACACCAATGATATCAGCACCTTGGAAATCAAGAGACTTCATATCACTATATATAGCATTTATAGCATTCAATAATTATGCATAGAACAATGGACATATATGTAGCCACTGGAAAAAATCGCGCTCCTCGAAGGTTGTAAATATAATGGATTTACAAAGGTCCAAAATGAGGTAAATATCCTGTAAATTTGGATTTACGCGATATTAACATCGTTTGATTTTCGTCATATTTCCATTAAATTTACATCGTTTGCAAAAACGATGTAAATTTTCTGTAAATCAAGTTTACAACATTTTTACATCAAATTTACAGCGCGATTTTTTCCAGTGAGCATTGCTTATTATATTATTTTACACCTACATACCAGATCGAGCAAGGCGTATAGCACACTCTGCGGGTAATATGCCATGTCTGTCACCTTGACTACTGATCGCCATGGTAACAGCAGTGGGGACACCGCTGTCTTTCATGACCTCCACCATCCATTCTGCTTCTTGGACGTGGGATATATACTACAGTTTGAGCAGATTTACGAAGGGAAATTTAAAACACACTCATGCCTGCTAGCTGCGATGGCTTAATTTAAAATATGCTTTTTTACCTCAGCAATCAAAAAGTCCACGCCATGTTTCATAAAGATATCCACTTGCTGCTGGAATTTCTGCTGTATTTCAGATTTTGATACTTTACCGCTCTTGAACGCCCGGCCTGTTTCACACAGGGAGCCCGACGACACTGCATAAGGACTATCTTTAGCCACATCGACTGCTAGTTTACAGGCATCCTCGTTGATCTCATCCCACTTTAATCACAAACATGAAAAACCTTAGTTGTTCTGTGGAGTCTATATCAAGATGTTAATATTCTATACATACCGTTATTAATCGGCCATCAATCTCTACAGGATCATCCTGCATGGAAAATGTGAAAGCTTGCATGACGTCAGCGCCAGCACGGAGGAAGTCGCGGTGAAGCTGACGAACTTAAAGATAAGAAAGAGGTCCATTTAATTATAATATACGCACTATTTGACGATACAAAGTCGGCTATTACTCAATTGGTAGGTCTATGACCAATGCTTCAAAGACACTCAGTCTGGTCATCTTCGCAGGCAAAACTTAGAAACAGCATCATGTTAGTTGCCCTTCCCCAACCCCACCCGTGTATTTTCTGGGCTGTAGCCTGCGTAGCGGCCCTCTTGGGATCCCTGTGGACGAGCCGCTACGCAGGCTTAGGGCTGAGGAGACTACAGCCCCTCAAACGACAAACAACTTAATCACTTGCATGTCATTTGCAAAGAAGAATGATCCGTAATAAGTCAGAACCCTCCACAATAAATATCTTACCCGCTTCTGGGTTCTCAACGACACATTCTGGTGTCCATTGGCCTGCCTTGACGTAGCCACGCTTCTCAAGACCATAAGTAAATCCGCCGTCACCAATGATGACTTCACCGGCATCAAGACGCTCTAGAATTCCTTTCTAAAACATACAAGGAAAACTTCATTTTGTCAAGTATAATAGAGCTTTCCACGTTACATTTTGTATGTGGGATCCGTTGGGATCAAGATTCTTAGGATCAGGATCAAGGCTGCTTGAGATTGGCCAAAAAATGGGATCCGGAATTTGCACGGCTGATCACAAAACAAACCACATGCTGATGCAAGTCGCGACATATTTGGATATATTAACAATATGTACAATTCAGTGCAATGTTTCTTTCTATATAAGTTTTATTTCACCAGTAAGGGAATAAGACCCAGTCGCCAACGGTTATGAAATCAGACAATGTGACACACGGGCGGAAATATTATGCCAACAAACAACCAACAGACCGTGTTGTTCAATAGATGAGGTGACGGTTTTGTCCGCCATTTTGGACCGGTAGGCATAGTGTCGCAAAATAACAAGGAATGACCGGGAAATCGATGTCAAATAATTCTCGCTGAATTCAAATTCAGAAAGAATTATCAATTGCAAACGTTAGATACTACAAAAAGGAGCTGACTGGCCAAATTTGAAGGATGTGCTTCGTCTAGGGAGCGAGAAAATTTAATTTTAGTTCTCAATACATTTCTTTGTATTTTTCACGCGCGTCACGCACTGATGACCCCGGAAATTATAACGAAATGTATTGAAATTACAAAGAAATGTATGGAGAACTAAAAATGAGTTTACTCGCTCTCTAGATCAAGTACGCCTTTCAAATTTGGCCAGTTAACTCCTTTTTGTAGTATCTAACGTTTGCAATTGATAATTCTTTCTGAATTTGAATTCAGCGAGAATTATTTGACATCGATTTCCCGGTCATTCCTTGTTATTTTGCGACACTATGCCTACCGGTCCAAAATGGCGGACAAAACCGTCACCTCATCTATTATTTCTCGACTTGCAAATTTTGCCTCATTAGTCGCACACAAAGGAATCCTGCAAGACTGGACGCCGTGAATAAAGCTCAGTCATCAGTGAAAAGACAATTATAGTTTTTCACGATTGACTGAGCTTAAGTGCGCCTCGTCTTGATTTTTTTGTGTTTGACTACTAAATCGGCTTATAGTCACTAAAAATATATTTGTTATTAACTATTTAGTATGGACATATTATAGAACTAACCCCAGTAGGTGGTACCAGAGCACAGATTACGCAATCCAAAAGGTACAAAAAACAATTATTAATAGGGCAACCTGTGTAACAAATTTTCTCTTAAACACGTTCCCAGTCCGAAATCTCTCTCGTATGGATTCGAATATACACCTTGCATACCGCCAGCTTCCCAGACTGCTTTGCACACTATCAATAAACATTTGTCGAGCATGAATATTAGGGATATCTTGCAGGCGTATCCAGCTTCTAAAACATTCCTGGAAATTTCGCAAAAATCACAAGGAAGAGCTGTTGGTCGTCGCTTTTGATCCTGAAAATGACTAGGAATTGAGTCATGACGGGAACAAGACTCAAGAATGTGCAAATAACTTGCGGCAAGCTGAACACCATCACGTAAACACGCTAACAACTTATTGCGTATTTCTTGCAAATTTCCCTGCATGGCGCGGCGATTCAACTCACCTTTGCTGACATTATCAACCACTATTTAGGACTATTTTGTCAATAGAAAATAAGCTCGATACCCTACAAATAATGCGACTAAGATGCGATCAGAACGAGAACTAAACAATTATTGCCATAGTCCTGACGTCATATTTATACCAGGTTTGACCTGGTCAAATCAATAGAAGGCGTTCCTTGCCAGCACGAGTGGATACTGGGTCGAGCGGCTGAGTGTCAAACGGAGTACCAAGCAGTTCCTCTGTATATTTCTAATATTGCAAGCCAACATTATATAATAACAATGAATCAGAATAAAAGCTCAGAATAAAATGGGCTGCCTGAGGGATTTCAAGGGAATCACATTCTGGGATTTCTATAATTAACAGTTCCTTCACTCCAGATCTTATCATGTTCAATATACGGAAAGGCATCAAATCAAACTGTATTCTCCAATACGTGACGCTCGGCGACGAAAGTATAAAAAGAAAGTCAAATATACATGATCCACATTAAGTTTCTATACAAGGTCTCAGACACTCCAATGTGGTCGGATAATCATGACTTCTTTTCAAACTCCCAAAAAACTTGAGGTACGCAAAAGGCTGGTGAGAGCGGCCGACCAGAGGCTGGCTGGAGATTTTCCCAGAACTCACGGTTAGCCCTGAAATAGACAAAATAGACAATTAGTGTGCACAGCTTGGCAAATTGACAGATATCGTTTCAAAAGTAAATTCGTCTGAATTTCCCGCAAAACTGAGGTGCATTGTATCTGTGATATGTTTTCTCAGTTATTTGCACTACACGAGCGAGTATTCGTCGATGTCCCTTCCGAGACGAGGGTCCATAATAGTGCGTGCCGCGGCAGATCCATATATAAAGTTTGAACTGCTTCTTGGGTTAGTACTTCATGTAAATAAAACCACATAAGCGTACCCCTAACCTAACCCCCAACCTTAATACATGTATTATTGCCATCTTTGTGGGGATTTACATGAAGCTCATCTTATTTTGTGTCCCTCACACTATAAACACTAAACAATCCCTAAACAGTGCCGTTTCCTCATCATATGAAATCTAGATCTAATCAAAAGGACAATTCCATATCACACAATGTAATTACTTGGCTCTCATTTGAGGCTCTGAGTGTTTTTTCAAGCCATCCCCCCATGGGGAACTTTTTGCACTTGCCAGAGGAAGACGACCTCGTTCTGGTGCCAGCTGGAAATTTGGAAAAATGATGAACAATATTAGTGAATATACAGCCTTTTGCAAAAATTATGAGAATTGTTGAAATATCTAAATATCATAATATCGAGTGCATGATGGGTAATCCCGCGCGATGCCCTTAGTCCCTTGTCTTTGTAGTTTAGTTTTTTTTTGGCGACAGACTTATCCGTAGTTCTGAACATTTTCTCGATGTCAACAATGAATTATTCTAGCAAACCCGCGTGTTCCGGACAATATATGGATATGGATATTATGATATTTAGATATTTGGACAATTCTCATAATTTTTGCAAAAGGCTGTATGTATGTATGATATCACTATATTAGAAATATCATGTGCATATATTGCAACTGCAAGTTAGCAAAATGTTGTTGGAAGAATTTCTGGAAGCGAAAAACTAATTCGAAATGCATGAGTTGCACTCACAAACTRATACTAGAGCARGAATGTTCTTAACGRCGACTTGGAATTAGGTATCCAGTCCGTCTCAAAAGGTAGGCATTCATATTATCATAAAAACTCAAGCTCTGTGAAGAATACCMCTCGTACCCTTAAATCGGATGTACGCATGYCAGCCTATCGCGACTTTTTAGTGACATTTTTTTTTAAGAATGTAGAATCCTTATTATGGGGAATAAYTTTTACACGACTGCGTCTCAGAGACCGACAGTGAGAAAAAAGAGAGAGAAAAAAAGAGGGAGGACGCAAGCGGAACATAGTCCTTGTGCCCGCCTCCCCCCCTTCTGACAACTCCCCACCCTGAAGCTTATGGCAGGAAGAAAACGCACAAATGAGGTCTTGCCTTACCTCTTCAGCCAAGGCTCGTATATGGTAGGGTTCAAATCCACAACAACCTCCGATGTACCTTATTCCCATGTCGTACGCTTTACGAGCAAACTTTTGGCAGTCAAACCGTGTGAGCATGCGTGGTTCTAACGCTATTGAAACAAACGATAAAACAATGACGACTCMCCCAAAAGGCATYAGATGTCATCTCGATGTCATTTAGCAAAAATTGGTAATTGACAGACTTACCAAATGGGCATTCAGCAAGACTTGTAAAACCATTTGGACCAGCCTCTGGTGTCCAGTAACCAAGTGGTTGGATCATAAAGTGTACTTTTAGACCTTCTTTCTTCACAGCTTCTTGCATCAGTTTCATGGTTTGTAGACTTATCTCGGGATCAAACCGACAGTTAACACCAATGATRTCAGCACCTTGAAGAGAAAACAACATGTTTTCCAGGCAAGGACTMCACCCATATTAGTYTTGTTCAAGCGTCACGTATTGTTCATTCTTTTTTTCAAATAGTCAGASCGTCAATATGTGACTATATATTAATGGAATATCAAGGAGATTGCACACGTATACTTGATTTCGCTGTTYTAGCATAATTCATAATCACAATACCTGCTTTAGCGAGCCGTATYGCACACTCTKCGGGTAATATGCCATGTCTGTCACCTTGACTACCGATTGCCAGGGTAACAGCAGTGGGGAMACCGCTGTCTTTCATGACCTCCACCATCCATTCTGCTTCTTGGACGTGGGATATATACTAGAGTTTGTGCAGATTATGAAAGGAGATTTAAAACACATTCATGCATGCTAGCTGCGATGRCTTGAAAATATTACATTTGCKTTTTTACCTCAGCAATCAAAAAGTCCACACCATTCTTCATAAAGATATCCACTTGCTCTTGAAATTTTTTCTGAATTTCAGTTTTTGGCACTTTGCCGCTACGGAACGCYTGSCCTGTTTCACACAGGGAGCCCGACGACACTGCATAAGGACTATCTTTAGCCACATCGACTGCTAGTTTACAGGCATCCGCGTTGATCTCATCCCACTAGAGCATACGAAAACGCCAACAAGTGGTTTTAATTTCACTCATTAGACAAAGATGTCTAGGAAACTTACAGATATTAGTCGGCCRTCAATCTCTACAGGGTCATCCTGCATGGAGAATGTGAAAGCCTGCATRACATCAGCRCCAGCACGGAGGAAGTCACGGTGAAGCTGACGAACTGAAAAAMAAAATACAACATCCGATTGCGAAATTTCAAAAACAAGACAAACGCCAAGAGACTYGAAAMCAACACGAGTCATGGAAAAGCTGGAAAACTAAGAGGAGTGGCTATTTTGTAAAGGTTTTTTAAGAAAGTKTTTTTAAGATGTTGTAAGAGATCGTGAACCTGCTTCTGGATTCTCAACGACACATTCTGGTGTCCATTGACCTGCCTTGACGTAACCACGTTTCTCAAGACCATAAGTAAATCCGCCGTCACCAATGATGACTTCACCGGCATCAAGACGCTCTAGAATCCCTCTCTTCTATCAAAGAACACAACCAATGTACTGGATTAGGCTTTATAAACCAGTGGAAAGGACCAGATCAAAATAATTGTTTAATCGATTATCTTTTAATGCAGGTTTTGAATCACTAGGGACGACCTCGGAYTGGTTTTGCATTTTGAAATGAAGACCTATTACGGGATTTTGAGTTTATCCACTTATCCACAGTTTACCCTGTTACGTATATTTTTTGGCCAATACAGCCAACTGAGACAAGTTACGTTGTTTACGTTGTTGTTTTTTTTTTTTGTTGTTGTTCGCTATGTAACCGCAAATAAATATTCATTCGAAAAGCGTTGTCATTAGAGCGAACAAACATAACGCGAACCTTTGCCAGGAAGGCAAAATTTTGAAAATTTTCCACTAAAGCTTTTAAAAAAAACTTAAAATACTTAAAAAAAATTACAAGCACGCGCCTGAAGTCCAAAAAAATTCTTGCACGGACAAAGTCTTCCAACCCCATCCTCCCCCACCCCCCCAACCACCTAAAAACTCTATTTGATCGCCCCAAACTTAACAAGGGGCCGTTATGCATGAGCATGCGCGCAACCGCTGCGT